ATTTTATTTTCTTTAATTATAATTCATACTAATTATATTTAATTCATATTATTATTATTATTATAAAAAATATGTGTCAATTAATTTACATAATCTAATTTGATTAATATTAATAGTAAAATTTATGTAACATTAAAGTGAGTAATATATAACCATTAAATGAGCAAGCAAATGCTTTTTGTAATTATAATATCAATTAAAAATAATTTTAAACTTTGAAGATCAAGTAATAATAATTTATATAAATATAACATGTATTTTAGCTTAAAAAAATCATCTATTAATCTTTTATAATTTATCAATCTTTCACTATTTTAATTTTCTTTTGACAAAATTTTCTTAAAAGTGAGTCATATTATAAGTCTTAAATTAGAGTTTTTCAGTCAAGCATTAATTACTCTTTTCTTTTCTTATTTATATTTTTTTTATTTTTAAAAATCTTTTATTTATAACAAATAATATTTTTTATTTAATATAATTAATCTCTTATTATTATTCTGCAAAGTTAATTAATATTATCTAGAAATCTAATAAAAGAAGAAGATATTCTTATTAAAAGTTAATCAATAAAAGAAGATTACTTAATAATAAATTATTTAAATTAAAAAAAGATTTCTGAACTTATTTTAGCTATTTAACAAAATGAACACTTTATTATCTACCTTTAGTAAATTAGTTTCTTCCAACTTTAAATACTTAAAACATATAAAAATTTTTAATTAAATATAATAACTTTTTTAACTAATTAAAATACAGAAAAAATATATAATTTATATTAAAAGATTATAAAACCAATAAAAATAGTAACAATATTTAATATATTTTTTTTTAAATTTTTTAGGTTTAATTTAATGAAATTATTTTAATTATATATAAAGTTAATTATTTTTTTATAATAAAAATATTATTAACTTTATATATATAGTTAAATATCTTTATAATCATTATTCTTAAAAAAGCAAATTTTGATAACTATAAAGAGAATATAATTATAAAGAAATTTTCTTACTATATATAAATAATAAAGCAAAATAAAGTGACTATAGAAGAGTATAACTATAAATAAATATGACTATAGAGAAATTTAATTGTAATTAAAATAATTTTGTTAGATTAAATTTAAAAAATCTGAAAAATATACAATATTATTTTTATTTTAAGATAAAATAAAAAATATTTATTAGTAAAATTAAAACTTTTATATAAAAAAATCTATATTTTTTATATTTTTATTGTGTTTTATTAATAATTTATTTTTGTATTATATTATTTTTTATTATTATAATATATATAATATTATTAATTATATTATATAAAATATTATATTATATTATATATAAAAAATTAAAACAAAATTATATAATTAATAAGTTAAGATATTTAGTATTATAAAAATTTCAAAATATTAAAATATTTAAATATTTAATAACTTTATTTCAAATTTATTTGTATAAATAATATTAATTATTTATAAATTATTATTTAATTAATTATAATATTTTAAAAATTTTTTATAAAAAATTAATTAATTTATTTTATAATTAAAAAATTTTTTCAAATTAAATATATAAATTTAAAAAAATATATATTAAATTATAAGTTATTATTTTATTTAATATAAAATTAAAAAATATTAATTAATAAAATTAAAAATTTTTATATAAAATAAAAATAATTATATTTATTAGTAAATTTTGATATTGTTATATTTTTTGTTTTATTATTTTTCAAATACTTATAAAAATATATTATTTTCAAACTTTATTATTAAAACTTTTATTTTTAGATTATATAAACAAAATTTTTGGTTTTTAATTAAAAATAAATTTTATATAAATAAATTTTTTGATTTTAAAAATAAAAAGCTAGATTATTAAATTATTTTATATAATTATATATTATAAAAGTCATAAATTTTTGTTTATATAAATTTATATTAAAATAATTTTATAAAGACAAAATTTTTTAAAAAAAACTAGAATTAATTTTTTATAAATTAAATATTTAAACACTTTCTGTAAAAATAATATTATTAAATTAATTTAACAATTTTAATTAGAATACAAAATTTTTAATTAAATATTTTAATAATTATTAATAAAAATTAATATTTTAGTAAATATTAATTTAGTATTAATAAATAATAGTAATTTATATTTTCAATATTATTTATAGTAACATAAAAATAATATATTATCTTCAAAATTTATTAATAAAATATAATAAAATACAGATTTTTCTTTATATAAAAGTTTTTAATTTTATTAATCAAAATGATTTATTTTTATATAAAAATATAAATAATAATTTATATTTAATATATATTTAGATTTTTTATATTTAATTTGAGAAAGTTTTTCTAATTACAAATTAAGTTAATTAATTTTTTATATATTTTAATTATAAAAAATTAATAACTTACTTTGTAATTAGAAAAATTTTTCTCAGATTAAATATAAAAAATACGCATTAAAAATAAATTGTTATTTGTATTTTTGCATAAAATAAATAATAAAATTAAAACTTTTATATAAAGAAAAATCTGTATTTTGTTAAAGTGATGCATTACTTTTATAAATCATTATATTAAATAATAACCAAATTATTATTTTTTAATAAAAATAAATATATTTGTAATAATTATTATTTGTAATAATCAAATTTTAATTAATTAATTAGAACCTGAATTAGAGTTAGTATTAAAATTCTGGATATATAATTGGTTAATATTAAAGTTGTTACAATTAGATTGATTCTTTGAATAATATACAAAAAATTATTATTATTGATTTTTCTAATTGACATAATTTTATATCTTCAAAAATCAATAAGAAAATCAACAAAATATTACAAAATATAATTAACACTATTTATAATAATTGTAATCTATAATATTTACTCTATAAAATATTTCTCTTTTTATTAATGAAATTGCTGAAATTGTAAATATTATCAATACGAAAAGTATACATATTCATAAAGATAATAAGAAATCGGCTCATTAAAACAATATTTGATGAAGATATTGTTTTTTTATTAATCCGATTGAAAGTTTTCTGTAAATTGCCGAATCTATCGAAATTAATTAATTGCAAATGTCATTACAATTAATGCAATAGTTGTTATATGGTGTAATTGATTAATGCATATGACAAGGTAAAGATAAAACAGATTGTGCAGCTTTTGTATCTCACAACTTGCTTGTTTATGGCGACTAATAAGAAAAAATGAGATCATTCACAAAAACTGCCGTTATCTTTAGGAACGTGACACAGTAATAAGGTATGGTTGTATTGTTTCAACTTTGCCTTTTTGCTTTGATTCTTAACCAAATCTGAAACTAGTATAATCTATGCTGAAGAGTGCATTCAATCTTTTATCATACCTCGAGAGGGTATGTCGATAATTGCGATAACCGTACTATTACTGCGGATTAACTAAGTGGGATTTGCAACACAGTTTTGGGCTGATGAGTCGAAATTTTGTTTGGTCTAACTCCAAAATGATGGATACATACAAAAGAAGTATATATTGTTGAAATCGTTACGTAATTCAAAGCAAATTACATCAGAGTTTGTAAACGAGGTAAAGATGAACAATTTCTACTCAAGTGGAATTGGATTGGAATGGATAATTTTCTATTCCGACAATAAGCCACGTGCGATTAACATTAATTGATTAGTTTATTTATTTTAGTTGCGTATTAATGTTGAGATAATTCCCACGAAAAAAAAAACGTATTTTATCACGCGTAATTACATGATTATGATGAGCGAAAAATAAGAAGATATTGATGACTAGATGTTAATACATACCCGAACCCTGCAGTAGAGTTTCTTATTAACTCTCGAATTCCGTTTCTTCCGTTATCCATCCGTCCTACCCGTGGTCATATCGGTTATTTATGTTTAATGATTAAATATCCCATTATCGTTATTTGCTTGTTGAATTAATTTAATCATCATTATGCACACGAGCGACATCTCATTAATTTTAAAAAAATTCTGAGTCATTTATTTACATGTGCTAACCAAAAACGGTTATTAACGTAAGATAATTTTCTCATTGAGAATATTTTAGTAAAGAACTGTGTGTTTTCTATGGTTCCCATTGTTATTTTTAGGGTTAGAAATTGGTTCATGTATACCTAGCTTCATTTCCATGTCGTCGTCATGCATGTCTGATTGCCTCGTGTTTTTCTTTACGAATTTTCGATATAGAAAAGTATCGAATAATAAACATTTGGTTGGCGAAATTCAATGTACAATTATAGAATGTTTCAAAAGTCACGAAGTAAATCGCGAGGTCAAACATACATAATGGGAAATATATATCCTATATTTCGAGTATCATTTCTCAGGACTAACAAACAGATGGAATTTATGCGAGTGGTTGGATATATAAATTGCGTTTACAACATATGGATTGAACTTTAATCTTGTTCCTCCAATATGTATATATACTTGTGCGTGCTTACATAATTACTCGTGTCGTTTTCTTGATCCAAAAAATTTCCCAGATATGCTGTGCCACCAACAGGTTTTTTTTCGAATTATATTTATCGTTACATAGTGAAATAAAACATAAAACCCATCGTAGTCGTCGCCGCGTTGCTGCTGTTTTTGCTGTCGTTCTTCCCCTCTCTTTCCAACATGAAAATATAGTAATTAAGGCTATTTTTATAATTTCATTTCAGAATTATTTAAATTCTCAAGTGAACGACTTTTTTTTGTATTAATCTCTTAATATGTACATTTGATATTTGGTTGCAAAATTTCAGTGACGAATATAATAAAATATATACACACCTCAAAAAAAAAGAAGAAAATTTCGATAGCGGGGCAAGAAAGAAAAAACAAAGAAAAAAAGAGAGGTTTCTTTTTTCTTTCTTTTTCTTCTTTGCGATCGTATTATCTATCTTTTCACTATTACGAAACACGTCGAAAAAAACTCGTTACATCAAAAAAAAAAGAAAATAATAAACCGGAATCAGTTAAAATATGAGCGACTATCATTTTGGCCAATTTGACCAGATATGCTACGAATCACCATTATCAATATGTAACGTTTTTCGGAACGCGGGCGAACCACGGTGTCTTTTGGAAGGATTCCTCGTGAACGGGACGCCCATACGAAACCTAGGTGCGCCGAAATACTCGACAAAAAAAACTTACTGCTATTTCGATAATTTGTGATTTTTCTCACGTGAAACTGCAAAGTTAGACGCGAGTTTACACTTTAGCGGTATTTCTTGGTTCTCTCACTCATCATACTTAGTCATTAGTTCTAGATGCTTTTGAATTATTCGCGTCATTTTTATGCTTAGCCTTTTTTCCCTACTTTTATTTTATATTCTCTCTTATTAAAAAATCAAATATCAATTTTGCACAGGCGACATGATAATGGCATTTTTTTGCTATAATATTTACAATATTTATAATATGGCGGAGTTACTTAAAACGCGCTGCAGTGGGTAAGAAAACTTTGATTTTTAGTTTATTAGCTATTAGTAATTAATTAATCAATCAATCAATCAATTAATTAATTGAAATTAAATAATAATAACAGGGCGAACAGAGATGATTTTATTTTTCGTGACGTATATATTGACGCTCGTGTCTCAAATCGTTACCAGTGGAGGATTTCTTGGAAAAGGAACTGTGTTAGCGGTAAGGTAATAGTTGTTGGGTCACATATATATTAGATATATAAATTAATGTTTTTTGTTGAATATTATTTGATAAAGTGGTTTTCAGCAGCGAATGCCGGGCTAATAAGTGCACTCTCTTGGATATTAGTGATGAATGCCATTGTAGGTTTGTATGAGTGTTAATTTGAAAGAAGACTCGTATATATGAACTTTCACAATAATAATTGATTTTAATTAAAATTTATACAAAAGGCTTTCAATTCGTCGAAGATGGATCTCTAATATCATTGGGTGTAAGCATCTAAAGGAGGAACTTACTCCCAATTATAACAACAAACATTTAATTTCCTACTAACCAAATAAATAAAATTTCTAAATATAGGGAATACTACTCGGTGGCATCTTAATATTTGTCGGGGTCGGATACATAGCACTAGACACGGCATTCAACATCTCAGGACACTTTGCATCCCCACCAACATTGAAAAACGTCGCCCTCTACATAACGTATATAATATTCCCGCTAGTCGCGGTGGTGGCGTATGTGGTATTAGAGACGATTTTGGTAATTGCGCATTTAGGGGATAAAAAACCTTTAGGCATGTTTATAGAGAAAGATAGAGGAGAAGGGGAAAAATGATATAATTATTCAATTAATTAAATATCTAATGATTTTTTTATATGTTTTACAGTATATTTATATGCATCTTTTTTGAGCGCGATATTGAGTCAGAGTTTCATGTTTGCGATTAGCCCGCATCTCTGTGAAGCCAGCTCGAAAACAATTGATGGATCATTGTTTTGCACGTTTTTTGTCTTTCTCGCAGTATTTCTGCTGTATAAGTATTGGTCAAGTATTACTGAAGGTTAGTAATGGAGATGGTTACATCGCACATATTATACACTAGTATACGGTCAATTCTTTTGTTTTTGTTATTGAACATTTGGTTGGCGAAATTCAATGTACAATTATAGAATGTTTCAAAAGTCACGAAGTAAATCGCGAGGTCAAACAT